AGTACAGATTGGTGCACAATAAGTACATCTATCGATGATCATTTGTTGAGCATCTTGTTGTTACGGCGAAACGTTATCATACTGGACCTGAAAATTTCAAGGTTCATTATCTGCAAGGACCGAACCATGTAGATGATGGTAATTTTGTGCATCCAGAGCTTTTATTGGATCCACAAGCTTGAGCTCGAGTGAGTTTTCTCTCCATGAATGACTTTAAAAAAAAAAATGTTTAGCTACTTGTTTATGGATTCTAATGAACTCTAATAATAAATGGCAGCATGAAGATTGAGATTTTTTCTCTTTCTAAAATATTACAATGTTATTTGATAATCCAAAAATAGAAGTGGACTTGGATAATACCTCTATTACGCTCAATAGTTATTTAACAGAACTATAACTGCTTTTTTTTTTAACCAAATTATTTATTAAAAGATGTTGTCGTAATTGGTAAGCCAATTAAATGAAGAGTTGTTTACAAAAAAAAATAATAATAACTCTATAACGTGTTGAACATGTGAAACAATTTGCCTTTAACTTATAAAGACGAGATATTGAAAGCAGATAAAAAAACGTTCGCCTATAACTTTTGGAACCATTTTTGAATAAACAAATGGGCCAATTGATTGGCTTTTGGTTTAGTCAAAATGGGTCTAAGAGGTTGAATGAGAAACGAATGTTCTAAGAGTGAGAAAGCCTTAAAATTCATTTAATGAATGCACACTTAAAATATCTCACATCCCTTAAGAAAAACATTTTGGTGTTGTATAAATAGGAGCATGCATGTGTAGTGTTCAAAACATTAAGAACATACATGCACCATGAAAGAAGCTAGGGAAACCCCACTTGCGCGCCAAATCGGATCGGGCGTGAGCTGTGGGCACTTGGGCTCCTGGGAATGCCTCGCCGAGCCGACTTCTTTAGTTTTTGGCCAAATCTGTCAGAGTTAAAAAAATCAGCGTTTTGAGACTGGAAGAAGTCAAAAGATTTTCTGGTCCGAGAATCTCGCCACTTCCCTCTCTACGTAACAACGAAAGCCACTTCGTTTGAACTGCTCCGAGATTTTTTTCACGAGATTACATCTCTGATTTTTCGGATCGTGCAGCTC